GTTATACGGTTCTGTGAGGTCTCCTCAGATATATCCTCTCTCAGACCTGAATTAGAAGCTCTTTTGGGAGCTTTCAGTTGACTTGCTAAGTATTGTCTCCGTGACATTCAGAGCAAATAATAATAGAAGAGCCTAATCCTTGCATTTGAAACAACGCCTTATCACGTCATTGAGACGTCTCAAAGCACTTCATAGAATATAATAATAATACTTGCATTTGATATAGCGCCTTATCACGTCGTTGAGGCGTCTCAAAGCTCTTCATGGTTTCACTGTAAAGTGTAGTGACTATACTATAAAGTGGATTGGCTGTATATTTTATGGGCAAAACGCGGCAGCCAATTGCGCACAGCGGTGTCCCACAAACAGTCGTTGATTGAATGACCAATTTTTTTTTGTGGGGGGGGGATTATTACCCCTGAATGCGATCTGCCAATCGACTAACAAACAGGTTCTTACTTACTGCTAGATAATCAGATGCGTGTGGAGTAAGGAAACTTGCCCAAGGTTTCTCCCCTCCCAGGAATCGAACCCGGGTCCTCATGTTTGCGAGGCGAGCGAGCTAACCACTACACTAGGGGGAACGCTATGATTTACCGATCCATTCCACCTCGCGCGTCTATGACACTGAGGCCAAACATCCCATGGCACTACTTTGAAAATAAGAGGAGCCCTCTCCATTTGATGGGAGATTTAACAGCTTCGCCCCAAAATTGGCTGCCTCACTTTCCTAACCAATGGAGTCAATGCAGTTAACAGCAATTACTTGAGAAGAGGCAAGCAGAGATGTTCGGGTGTGAAGGGAGGCTATAAATATGCACGTTCTCTCTTCTTTCTGGACAGGAGTGAAGGAAAAGCATTGGGTGTGTTGGAATTGCATATGCTGTCTATTGCAAACCTATTCCTGGATGAGGAATGCATTTTCCGCAACCTTCCAACAGGTGTATTTCAATCACCAAGAACAGGCACAGATGGAACTTTGGTTCGATGTCTCATCCGAAGGACACCGTATCCCAACATTTCAGCCTTACCCCAGAACTGTACTTCATTGGAGAAATGGCCTCGACCAGTGATGGCCAACTTTATTGGTGTGCTAACCATTTGGTTTCTCTACATTGAATTTTTCTTCATTCGTGGCCATGCCACAGGGATTCTGGCTCGATAGGTACTGGAAACAAGGTATTGATTTGGGATGGACTTGCCTTGACTGGGGCAGGTGTTCGGGAAAAATTAAATAAAGAAAAATTGATCTGCTTTGCCAAACAAAAGGTTGGCCACCAGTGGCCTTGTCTGTGAATTCAAAGTGGCAACATAAGGCTTTAAACCTTTGGACTGTCCTATCAGCGCCTTGAGACTGTCCTCCCGACATGAAAGCCGCTTTATAAATGCAATTTGTTGTTGTTGTTGAACCCACAACCTTCCAACTCACCTTAGCGAGATTGCTACCAGCTGAGCCTGGCTGATACCTACCCATTGCCGCGTACTCTATTATAAACGGTAGTCCCATAGTGTAGTGGTTAGCGCACACGCCTCGCAAGCGAAAGGACCTGGGTTCGATTCCCGGACGGGCGAATCATTAGGCAAGTTTCCTTACTCCAGCAGTAAGTAGGAACCCGGTTGTCAGTCAATTGGAGGATCACTTTCCGGGGGTAATAGCTTCCGCCAATGCGTTTAGCAAGTGGTCTGGTCTTCTCGAATATTCCTCGACACCAGGTGACACTGCTGCTACTTCACGTTTGCATTGCGTGAATATCTCATCCAAAGGATGGCACCTCCTACAATGAAACACCTCCCCCCAAGCGCTGCAATGGAGTATCTGCTTGAGTATGTGATTCCAAGTCCCGAATTGGGGCTTGAACCCACAACCTTTTGACTTAGAGGAGTGTTCAATGGGATTCCTCCCCTCCCTCTACCCCCATAGCAAAGACCAAACAGAATTTTTACCCACACGTCAGCCCACCATTGATTGCCACAGACCAAGATGGAACAGTACTTCAACGAGCATCCATTTTGAACGGTGTCTTTCAGACCCGGACTCAAACGGTTAATGCCTCCAACTTTTATTTAATTTAAACGCTAGAATTGCTTCTTTCCATCTTTGTCAAACTGTCTCAGGCTCTTTCGACGTGGAAGACGATGCCAAAGGGAGTCGAGAGAGGTCTTGCCAAACAACACCGGCTCTGCCAAACCTGACGGTTCCTTGGACACGTCTAAGGCGATAGGTGTGCGCTGTCAACTTTATTTGGAAACAGATGATCTGCTAATATTATACTGCTGAGTCAGGAGAGAGAGCTTCGTTGACGATGTTCAGAAATTAGCCTTGCACTCCCCTTATATAGGGGAATGTGTCAGCCTGGTAGCGCTCTCTCTTCTGAGTCAGAAGGCTGTGGGTTCAAGATCCCACTTCGGGGCTTGGAATCACAGTCTAAGCTGATGCTCCAATGCAGCGCTGGGGGAATTGTCGGAGGTGCCGTCCTTCGGATGAGACGTTAATCCGAGGTCCCGTCTGCCTGCTCAGGTGGATGTTAATGATCCCATGCCATTATTCGAAAAGAGAAGGGAGTTTCTCTCTCTTGGTGTCCTGGACAATGATACCCCCAAACGAAATTAGTCACTCAGTCCATGGCTGTTTGTGCGACACTGTTGTGCGCAACTGGCTGCCACGTTCACCCACAAAATACACAGTGTAATCCTGTGAAGAGTTTTGAGACGTCTTGGCAACATGATAAGGCACCATATCAAATGCAAGGATTGTTATTATATAAGATTGATTATAATAATAATCCTTGCACTTGATATAGGTATCAGCCTGGCTCGGTTGGTTGTACTGAGTCAAACGTTTGTGACTTTAACATCGAACCAAGATTGCGGTGAATGTTCAAAGATCCCACGGCACTATTCGGAAAGAGAAGGGAATTTCTCCTGGTGTCCTGGCCAACAATCCCACAGATAAAGTTGGTCAATCGCTCCACGACTGTTTGTGGGACACTGGCATACGCAATTGCCTGCCGTGTTTATCCACAAAACACACAGTCACTCCACGTCACAGTACATTATTGGAGCGTCCTCCCGACGTGAAAGGTGCTACACCAAATACAAGGATGATTTTTGTTGTTGTTATTGTATCCACTAAGCAGCAAGCACTTTTCATACGCGTGGATCCAAATGAGTAACACTTTCTGAGGTAGGAAAGGGATGCGAATATGTATTGTTAAAAACAATTTACATTTACACTGTGCCCTTCATGTAGGATAGCATCTCGGATACGTTAAGTGACAGGGTTGCCGAGCAAGGGAGAAGATGGGGAGGTCGAAGAGGTAGATCTTACGGTCGGGCTTAAAGATAGATAAAGAAGGGGCGAGAGGTGGAGGGGTTGAGGCAGGGAGTTCCAAAGCTTGAGGGCTTAGCGGCCGAGGTCCTGAATGCCAGTGATAGTAGCCAGGATGGGTCAGGGGACATGGAACAGGCCTGCATTAGCTGAGAAAAAAGATTGGGGTACGAGCAGGTCAGAGAGGTAGGTAGGGAGGTGCTGGACTGCATGCGAGGGCGAGGATTTCAGAATCAATCCATTCTGAGACGGGGAGCCAGTGGGGTCTGGCGAGAACTAGGAGGATGAGCGTACAAACAAAAAGAAACTTTGCGTCAGAAGAGAATAAGTCTTATTCAATGTTTAAAATCACAATTACATTTGTTTTATGATAATATATCTCCCAAGCCATTAGAGAACAAAATAAACATAGTTCCCCTGAGACCAATCAACTTTCACCCATCTGGATGACGGCTAACATTCCTGTTTTTTTTAAAAGAGAGACAAAGGGATACAAAGGGACAAAGAGAAATAACACACTTTGTTAACTACTTTCATTTGGATGAAATGTTATGCTGTGAAGCGCTTTGAGTCTCAACGATGTGATAAGGCGCTGTATCAAATACAAGGATTATTATTATTATCATCATCATCTTATTTATAAACTTTTTTAAAAAAAGATACGATGTGTGCTATACACAGGAAACAGAGACAATAAAGTAAAGTGTAGGGCTTTGATAGTTTAAAAATTAGACAATACTGTCATAACTTAAAACATCGGATTTTTTTCAAAAAAAGTAAATAAAATTATTTGGGAAAAAAAAGACACCTCTCTTAAATTCAGAAGTGATTGCATTGCAAAGGGGGTAGAAGCAATTTAACAATGCAATTGTTGGGGGGAGAGGTTGGTTTTATTTAAAAAATAAAAATGGGAACCAGAATCATAGTCGGTTACAGCACAGAAGGAGGCCATTCGGCCCATCATGTCTGTGCCAGGTCTTTGAAAGAGCTACCCAACAAGTCCCTCTCCCACCCCTGCTCTTGCCCCACAACTCTGCAAATTTTCCTTTTCAAATACCTCTCCAATTCTAGCTGTAGCACTCTTATATAAAATTCACATAGGGCAATGCGCTTGCTAACTGCGGGTGGATAAATTTAACAAATTTAACGATGCAATCATTTTTTTTGGTGGGAGGGAAATAAAACTAAAGACCGGAACTACAACAACAATAATAATAATCCTTGCATTTGACACGGCGCCTTATCACGTCTTCCAGACGTCTCTCAAAGCGCTTCACGGGAACATACCGCAAAGCCAATGGACTGGATTATTTTTGTGGGCTTCGAAACACGGCGGCTCATTGCGCGCCTCGAAACAGCAGTGGATTGAACCAGCTGTAGGATTCTGGAAGTTTCTGTAGGGCAAATGTTGTCTGCTATCTATCTATCTATCTTTCTGGCTGTGTGGGTGGGAGTGAGTGAGTGAGTGAGTGAATGAGTGTGTGTGTGATTGACTGATTGCTGCCCTGGCTATGGTATGTGCTATCAGCTGTGGCTGGATATAAAAAGAAAGGTTACTTTGCATTGAATGGAGGGAGGGAGGGAAAGAGAGAGAGAGAGAGAAAGAAAAGAAAGAAAAGAAAGAAAAAGAAAACACAAATAAAAATACATGACATTCATTTCATTTACTTACTGCAGTAGATCCAGACTGGGTAGCAATAAAAACCTTGATCACCATGTTCACTCTCTGTTGTGTGTGTTGTGTGTGTGGAGGGAAGGGCAACAACCCCAAAAAGAAAAGAGAGTAAAAATAATAAATAAAGGAGTGAGAGAGAGAGAGAGAGAGAGAGAAAGAGAGAGAGAGCAAACAAGTCCAACCACCTGCAGCCAAACTGGTCAATAGGCAACTGAGCCAAGGACTGAGACAAGCGCAGCGCCCGCCCCCTTTTGCTCACCGTTGATTGGCCGCGGGCTGCCGTCTGGGCGGGTCCCAGGGGCCGAGGGCACTTGTGAGTGGCCGTCTCTCCTGTCAATCAGGCGTTGATTGACGTCGCTCTTTTTGGATGCTCCCTCCCCTTCCTCTCTCTTTCTTTCTCTCTCTCTCTCTCTCTCTCCTTCTCTCCCTCTCTCTCTCTGTCGCCCCTCCACTCCCCCACCATCACCTTCCCTATAAGGCTAGTGGTCGAGACTGGCCAATGGGATTCCTCACCCTGGCTGTGCCTGGCAATGTTTGCAGAACTTCCCAACAATTTTTTATTCTAACTTTATTAGAACTTTTTATTTCTAACTTTCATCCACTTTTTATTTCTCACTCTCATCCACTTTTTATTTCTAACTTTCATCCACTTTTTATTTCTCACTCTCATCCACTTTTTATTTCTAACTTTCATCCACTTTTTATTTCTCACTCTCATCCACTTTTTATTTCTAACTTTCATCCACTTTTTATTTCTAACTTTCATCCACTTTTTATTTCTCACTCTCATCCACTTTTTATTTCTAACTTTCATCCACTTTTTATTTCTCACTCTCATCCACTTTTTATTTCTAACTTTCATCCACTTTTTATTTCTCACTCTCATCCACTTTTTATTTCTAACTTTCATCCACTTTTTATTTCTCTCTCATCCACTTTTTATTTCTAACTTTCATCCACTTTTTATTTCTAACTTTCATCCACTTTTTTTTTTAATAATGACTTACACCGAAACTTCACTTCTATTCAACTTTTTTTTTGTAAAAAATAAAATAAAGCTTCTTTCCTCCCCCACCCACAACCCCACCCCCACCTCCACCCCCCTCCCTCTCTCTCCATATAGTTAATGATATTAAAAAAAACTAAACTAAACAGCAGCACCCTAGAAAATAACAGAAATCGCTATGAATGTATTTTTAATGTATTTTTTTTAAAAAGGATTGATAAAGCGCTGTATCGAATGCAAGGATTATTATTATTATTACAACAACAACAAAATTACATTTGTATAGCACCTTTCACGTCGGGAGGACGTCCCAAGGCACTGGACAGTCAGTGTTTCAGACCCGAGCTGGGGGTCGGGGTTGGGGAGGTTGGAGGGCATGGGGGCGGGGGGGGGGAAGCAGGTTGATCGAAAGCACGGTCGAAGAGGAGGGTCTTGAGATGGGTCTTGAAGGAGGCAAGGCGGGGGGGGGGGGGCGAGGCGGAGGAAATGTGGGATGGAGTTCCCGCCATAAATTAATAATTTATTATTATTGTGATTATTTCTTTTCCAGGAGTAATAATCCCTTCCACAAAAAACAATTTTCTAAGAAGAAGAATCCGGTCACTTCAATCCACGACCGTTTTGTGGGCCGCTGCCGCTGTGCGCGATGGGCTGCCGCGTTCCGCCCACGAAATCTACAGTTCAATTCGCTTTGCAGCGCATTCCGTGAAGCCCTTTGACACGTCCAAACGCCTGACTGCCCGGGCTTCGGAAATATCAACCCCCGGGTTTGACGATACAGCGCCTTATCACGTCTGCGAGACGTCTCGAGGCGCTTCGACGCGACACACTGCAAAGCCATTCTTATTATCGATGAATGAATGAATGAATGAATGAATGAATGAATTAATGAATTAATGAATTAATTAATAATGTTCTCGTTATAAAGCGCCCCATCCAGGAGAGAGGAGAACTATCATTCCCAGAAGCCGTTGATGGGCTTGTGTGGTTTCCCTGGTGATCGAGTGGGCGCTCTGATTCCCTGGGCTCATTGTGACACATTGGAGCCTGAGTTCCACTGACCCGCAGTCAGTCTCCACGGGGGGACTGACAGACGGACTGACTGACCGCTTCCCATCCTGTTCAGACCTTCTCCTTTCATCAGCCGAGCCTTCCTCAAACTTCACCTGGTGAGTGTGTGTGGGGGGGGAGAGGTGGGGGCTTTAAATAGACACCTGACCATCCCCCCACCCCCACCCCCACCACCACCCCGCCACTGTGGGAAAGGGGATACGAGGCTCTGTTTCATTCTCCCGTAAGAGTCAACTTGCGTTAATTTTATTTAAGGAAAGTAAAGGCGTCCCTCCTTCAAGACACTCCTCTTCGACTTCTCTGCGCATTTAAGTCACCCTCCTACCCCTACCCTTCCCTGCTCTCCACCCCCTCCTGATCCCAACCCCCAGCTCGGGTCCAAACCCCTGACTGTTTGGGAGTTTGGGACGTCCTCCCGACGTGAGAGGCGCAACCCGAGTGTCATTTGTTACTGCTGTTATAGATTGGTTCGTATGTGTAGTGACTTTCTGCCTCTTTAGCGAACACTGTTTGTTTTGATACGTTTGATGCAGCGGCTTTCACATTCAACGTCTCAAAGCGCTTCGCAGGATACACCGTGTGAAGGGTAGTGACTGTGTGTTTCGTGGGTGGACGGGTACCGAGCCCCAATCCTGAAAGCCAAACCATGCCAACGTGGGAATGAATGCCAGCTCCCGTACAATTTTTTTTTAAAAAAAGAAAGAAAAACCGAACCGGTGAGCCCGAGTTGAAACTCATCCGTTTTTTTGGTCTGCCGGGTGTCTGACACGGGTGGATTAGCCGTCGCCGTGCTGAAGCGGATCCTGACAGAGAGTACCCGGGAGCTTACACGCGCGTAACCAGCCACACGGGAAATTCCGCAATACTTTTTACGCAGACGGACTTTTATTTTTCTCTCTCTCCGCGCCCCCCCCCCCCCCCCCCACACCTCACCACCCACCTGAATTTCCACCTTGTCGCGCCCCACCAGTAAGACCACTCTGTCTTAAAATGGAAGATCACTGAAAATTTGCAAAACCTATTCTGGTACGATAACAAGCAAAGACATAATAAAGCGGTCGCTCAATCCGCGACTGTTTGTGGGACGCGGCCGCGGGCAATTGGCTGCCGAGTTTCGCCCACAAACTATACGGTGATTTCGCTTTGCGGTGTGTTCTGTGAAGCGCTTTGGGACGCTTCGAAGAGGTGATAAGGGGCTATATTAAATGCGAGGATTATTATTATTACTTTCCCCGTTCCCCCTTCCCTTCCTGACTGTTTTTGTTTGAATGGTGAGTTCTGATGACATCACCAAGGAACTGTTTGAGCCAGAGGATTTGCTGAGGGGGGTGGGGGTTTGGACGGGGGCGAGAAAGAAAATGGAAAGAGCAATCGAGCTGTGTGAAGAGACGTGGGATTAAATAGACCGGTGTCTGGAGTGGTTTTCCCTCATTCGCCTCCCTTCCTGAGCGTTGAATGTTTTGGAATTAAAAAAAAATTGGCAAATGTTACGATCTTTTTCTTTGCTGTCACGTCAAACGAGTCAGTCAATTATGAGACGTGTTGGCTTTACCGTCAATCGTTGTAGGGCTCAACCTGAAAGTCTTGGTCAAGCATTGTGAAAGTCCTGTAGAGTCATGGTTAGCGCACGTAAGAGGACCCGGGTTCGATTCCCGGGTGGGGCGAAACAATAGGCAAGTTTCCTTACCTCACACGCCTCCGTTTATCTAGCGGTAAGTAGGAACGTGGTTGACAGTCAATTGAGGATCACTTTCTGGGGGTAATAATCCCCGCCCGCTCCTCGCTGTTGTGTTTTGCCCACAAATACAAAGTCAATCCACTTTACAGTATATTCTGTGAAGCGCTTTGAGACGTCTCAACGACGTAATAGGGCGCTATATCAAATGCAAGGACCGTTATTCTTATCGGTAGAATGATTAGCGGGACGCAGGGGGGGACAAGTAGGATCCAGGTTAGTGGGAGAGGAAGGAGTTACTCTCTTGCTTCCTTGAGTAACACATTTTTTTGCTCGGCCGGCTGTCTGACACACAGCTCTTGCCGATTTGCACCTCATACTCTCCAGAATTAATCTCAGAGGGAGAGAGAAAGAGAGAGAGTGTGTGTGTGTGTGTGTGTGCATTAATCTATTCCTGAAATGTCCACTGTTAGTCTGGTTTAGATTGTGCGTCAACCTGGCTCAGTCGGTAGAGTACTCACCTCTGAGTCAGAAGGTGGTGGGTTCAAGCCACCATGTTGGGATTTGGAATCCCATAGTCTAAGGGTACATTGCCTGAGGTGTCGTCCTTTGGATATCAAATGCAAGCATTATTACGATTGTTATCATTATTATCTGTTGAACAGAGCCAGCTAGTGCGCTTAGCAGCCCGTAAAAGTTGATCCATACGCTGCTTTGAAGTGCCTCAACGACGTGATAATAATCCTCGCATTTTTGAGACGGCGCCTTATCACGTCTTCGAGACGTCTCAAAGCGCTTCACTTGCGATGTGAATTGACTCTATATTTTGTGGGCGAAACGCAGCAGCCAATTGCGCGCAGCAGCGTCTCACGAACAGTCGTGGAGTGAGTGACCAAATTATTATTATTTTTTTGAAGGGTTTATTACCAACCGACTAACAACCGGGTTCCTACTTACTGCGAGATAAACAGAGGCATGTGGAGTAAGGAAACTTGCCCAATGTTTCACTCTGCCCCGGGAATCGAACCCAGGCTTGCGAGGCGAGCTGAGCTACAGGACTCCACAAGGCGATAAAGCGTTATATTATTATTATGAGTACTATAATAACAAGGTGAGGTGCCTCAACCACGGAGGGATAACTTATTTCCTTGAACGGTTGTGTGTTTGGTTGGGTTTCAGATAATGTGACGAGGTGGCATTCTCCAGCATGACCGACCAGAAGAGTTTGCCGGACAACCTGTCAGAGCGATCTCCGAGCGGGGATAAGCAGAGCAGCGATTCGAACAGCAGCGCTTCCAGCAAGAACTCCGCAGATAGTGACGGGAGCCACCAGCGCCTGAGAGACAGCGCCTGCTCCGACTACTCCGAGGACTTTGAGGACCGCCGCAGCGCACTGGACACGCAGGGGACGGAGCGAGCCAGCGGAGGAGAGCAGCCGCCCGTCAGCAAGGAGGAAGACACCAAGAAAAGCAAAGTCACTTGCAAGAAAGGTAAAGGCGATCAGGCCCCTCTCGAGACCCTCTTCTTCGACCGTGCCTTCGGTCTCCTCCTCCGTCACCCACCCTCCCTGCCCTCCACCCCTCCTGACGCTAACAATAATCCTTGCATTTGATACAGCGCCTTAAGGCAGGGCGAAACCTTGGGCAAGTTTCCTTACTCCACACAGAGCCTAATAATAATCCCTCCAAAAAAACAAAAACAATAATAAATTGGTCATTTTCAATCTACGACTGTTTGTGGGACATTGCTGTGCGCAATTGGCTGCCGCGTTCGCCCACAAATATACAGTCAATTCACTTTACAGTGTGTTCTGTGAAGCGCTTTGGGGCGTCCTCCCGACGTGAAAAGCGCTATATCAAATGCAAGGATTATTATTATTATTATCACAGTCGTTTGAGACGTCTCAAAGCGTTTCGCAGGATGCACTATAAAGCGGAGTGTCTGTATGTTTTTCGAGCAAAATGCGGCAGCCCATTGCGCACAGCTGTGTCCCACAAACAGTCGTGGATTGCGTGACCACATTTATTATGTTTTTTTTAATTGATTTATTTTGGTTTTGAAGGGATTATTACCCCTGGAAAAGTGATCCACAAATCGACTAACAACTGGGTTCCTGCTTACTGCTAGTTAAACCGAGGTTTGCGTGTGGAATAAGGAAACTTGCCCAACGATTCATTCTGTCCTGGGAATCGAACCCCGGTCCTCTCGCTTGCAGGCGCACTAACCACTAAGCTACAGGACTCCAAAGTACACCTGGCTGGCCGTTCATACAGCCGTATAATGTTGTCGAGATGTCTCAAAGCCCTTCACAGGATACCGTGCAAAGTGTAGTAGTGACTGTGTGTTTTGTGACAAGCTATGCAGTTTTAGCTGGATAGGCTCGAGCAGGAACTCCAACGAACACTCTGGGGTCTCCCAAGCCTTGGCTCTTGCCAACCTGCGCCGAAAACTCTCCGGAATTAGGTGAGCAGGATGAGTCCCTCCAGGGAGAGCGAGAGAGCGCATTCCATTCCCACAATCTATCTCCGGGATTTCCATATGTAGGTGGGATGCATGGAATTCTCTGGTTGGTTTGGAGAGACTTTTAAACACAGTGTGACGGGTTTCCGCGTGTGTCAAACCCCCCGAAAAAACCTCCTTCTGGACTGTAAATTTCCAAGACTCTGTGATTGGGGACTGGCCGGGTTGGGGAGGTGATGGGTCACCACATCGCATCTTAAAGTGAAGCCAATCCTAATAAAATAAACCTCAGGATTATTGTTCCGTCATTATCCACCGACAGGTCCACATCCACCTGTCTACTCCCGAACTGTACAACCGTTTCCCCAGGTATTATTTTCTAGAGAGGGAGAGATTTTTTTTTCCGACTAGTTTACTCCCACCACTGAGCAGGCGATCGGGCCTTCAGCCTCTCTGCCCCAACCCTTTGAAACTCCATCCCACAGTCCCTCCACCTCGCTCCATCTTTTGCCTGCTTCGAGGCCCGTCTCCTCTTCGACTGCGCCTTTCGGTCACCTTCCTACCCCCGCCCCGCCTGCCGTCCACCCCTCCTGATCCCAATCCCCCAGCTCGGTTTCCAGATCCCTGACTTGGGAAGTCCTAGGGACGTGAAAGGCGCTATGCAAATGTAAGTTGTTGTTGTTAATAACAATAATAATCCTTGCATTTGACATAGCGCTTTTCACGTCGGGAGGACGTCCCAAAGCGCTTGACAGAACACACTGTAAAGTGAATTGACTGCATATTTGTGGGCGAACGCGGCAGCCAATTGCGCACAACAACGTCCCACAATCAACCACTGGTTCAACAACCTTTGATTTGTTGTCGTTTTTGAGTAAAAAAAAAATCTCTCTCGAAAATAATATCTGGGGACACGGTGTATAGTTTGGGACATGGGATGTCAAGCGACTGCCAGGATGGTGGAAGGCGAACTGGATGGACTCTGGTCTTCTGCTGCCCAGCAAATTCTTACGTTCTCACATCCTCTCTCCCCCTTCTCCCCCTCTCCGCCCAGCGCAAAAGAAACCGGCATCAAAAATGCTGCAGCACTGGCCCCGCCTGGGCGGGAGGGGCAACAGGCCTCAGCCCGGCTCGGGCCGGGGCGAGGACGGGGTGACCCTGCGCCTGCTCTCCGCCAGGCTCCACAAGACCAAGGAGCTGCGGAACGAGGTGTGCGAGCTGCAGAGGGAGCTGGCCAGCGCCCGGGTGGAGAACAAGATGCTGAAGCAGCTGCAGTACCGGCACATGAAGGCCCTGGTGAAGTTCGAGCACGAGCAGAGCAACCTGCCCCAGCTGCTGTCCCGGCACGAGACCGAGGTGCGCATGCTGAAGGAGCTGCTGCGCCGCTCGCAGGAGCAGGACCGTTGCGTGTCCCGCCAGCTGCGGGAGGCCGAGGGCGAGCTGTGGAAGACCAGGGAGACCCTGCACAAGCTCAAGCTGCTGTGCAGCAAGGCCAACCTGGCCGAGCGCGATGAGCTCACCTCCCGCATCGCCCTCCTGAGCCAGAAACTGGACAGCGAGCAGGATAGGATACAGGTCAGCTCCGCGCGTGCCTGTGCGCGTGTGTCTGCCTGCGTATTTCCGCGCGCGCGTTTGTCTGTGTGCGCGTGTGAGTTTGTGCGCGCGTGTGCGGCGTGAGCGCAAGTGCATACGTGCGCACGGGTCTCGAGTGTGGGTGCACGAGTGTGTGTGTGTGTGTGTGTGCATGTTCGTGTGCGTTTGAGTGCCCATGTGCGTGTGTATCTGCAAGTGTGTGTGTTTGTGTGTGTGTTTATGTGTGTTTTATGTATGTGTATGCGTGTGAGTCTATATGTATGTATGCATGTGATTCAGGGCAATGTAGCTTGATTTTTTTTTTGCTGTGTGATGATCCTTACATCTGGTCCAGTGCTGTTCTGCTCGTCGTCAATGCACCTCGAAGCACTTCACAGGGTTTGCTGTAAAGTGTAGTGACTGTGTATTTTGTGGGCGAACGAGGCAGCAAAATTGTGCACAGCAACATCCCACAAACAGCCATGAAGTGAATGACCAATTTTATCTGGGGGATTGTCGGCCGGGCTCGAGGGGCTGAATGACCTACTCCTGCTCTACGTTGCTCTGTTCCTACACCACCTACACATGGGAATCTGGAACCTGTGTGTTGTCTGTTGCAACACACAGACTGGACTGGAACGTACAGTCTCTCCCTGGTGGGATGGATACTGTTTCCCTAATTCCAGGGAGTATTGGGTGTTGGTTGGTGAGAGCCAAGGCTTGGGGAACCCAGAGTGTGGGATGGGGGTAACTGCTGGAGTCTAAACCACATAGGTTGCCATTGACAGTACCGTCTGGCTATCGCTCCCGCTGCTTGTCCAGCTAGGACCACCTCACCCATGAGGGCTTTGGCTTGCAGGGTCCCTGCTCCCAGTGACTGGTTTGGAAACACGGGCTTGTAAGACTCTTAAGTATCTCATTCCTTCGATGGCCTGGTGGGTGAAGAGTGACGGGGTTAGGCCTTGTGTCCTTGCTGCACAGAGAGAGAAAGACAAGAGAACCTTCTCTTTTTGAGTGGTTATCGTGGGAGCTTTAGTAGATACCCGAACAGACGCGGTTGGGGGAGTGGGGGGGGGGGGTTCTCCGTTTAGGTGGACATTAAAATTAAAGATCCCGAGGCACTACTCAAAAAGAGAAAGGAGTTTTTCCCTCCCGGTTTCCCGGACAACAATCCCCCAAATTAAATAAAAATTGTTCGTTCACTTCACGGCTGTTTGTGGGTCATAATAATAATAATAATCCTTGCATTTGATATAGCGCTTTTCACGTCTTCTCGACGTCTCAAAGCGCTTCACAGAATAGACTGTAAAGTGAATTGACCGTATATTTGTGGGCAAAACTTGCTGCCCCGATTCACCTGCAAAACACACGGTCACTGTACTTGACAGTAAAAATCTGTGAAGCGCTTTGGGACGTCCTCCCAACATGAAAGACGCTGTACCAAATAAAAGTATGCTGGTTATCATTATAATAATTAATAATAATAAGTGTCATAATAATGTTATATTATAATAATCCTTGCATTTGATGTAGCACTTTATCTCGTTTTTGAGACGTCTCAAAGCGCTTCACAGAATATACGGTAAAATGAACTGCTGCATATTTTGTGGGCGAAATATTACGAAACGTTATAAATGATAATAAAGTTTTTCACGTGAGGAGAATATTTCAAGGAGCTTCGCAGGATTTTACCGTGAAGTGCAGCGACTGTGTGCGTGGGCAAAAGTGGCAGTCAATTTGCACACGCTTCGCAATGATGCGCAGGGGCTGGACTGTCATCAGTAGTGCCTGGAGTCCCAGAGACTTGCCCAGAACAGGAACCAGACGAGTGAGACTCCCAGAGAATCCTAGACAATTCCAACGATCTGTTGCTGAACACTTTAGCTCGGAGCCAGTTCAGCCCCAAGGAGACTCCCCCCACCTGCCCCCTCCCCCCACAAAAAAAAATTGCACCCAAAGTTGTCCTTGTAAACATGGAGTGAGTGAACGATTTGGGAGGTTGTTGGCCCAGGACAAGGAGAAACTCCCTTCTCTTTTCGAATAGCGCCGCGGGATCTTTAACGTCCGCCTGATCAGGGCACAGATGGGAACCTCGTTGTAACGTCTCATCCGAAGGACGGATGCCACAGGTTAGGTGAGTTGACTGTAATGAAACTTGCATGGAGGCCATGTTTCAAGATGCTGCTGTTTTCTGGAAAAAAAGATGTGGGAAATGCTGTGTAGGATAGATGTGGACACGGGTGGCATTTTCAACCCGTGGAATTGCTTAAATCGATCTCTCGTCTTGGCCTCTGACACCATTCCTAGTTTCCCAGCCGTTGATCATTATTCCCTGTACAGGAATACAACAACTACAACAAATTACGTTTACACAGCACCTCGCACGTCGGAAGGACATCCCAAGGCTCTGGACAGTCAGGGATTTGCACCCGAGCTGGGAGTTGGGATCAGCAGGCGTGGTGGAGGGCAGGGAGGGTAAGGGTAGGAGGGTGGCAGAAGGTTGTGGGTTTAAGCCCCCCATTTCAGGACTTGGAATCCCATATTCTAAGCTGACACTCCCAATACAGTGCTGGGGGCGAGTTTCGTTGTCGGAGGTGCCGTCCTTCGGATGAGACGTTAAAGCGAGGTCTAATCTGCCTGTTCGGGTGGACGTTAAAGATCCCATGGTGCTATTCAAAAAGAGAAGGGGGTTTCTCTCTCCTGGTGTCCTGGTTAACAATCCTCCAAACAAATAAAATCGGTCACTCACTCCATGGCTGTTTGTGGGACATTGCTGTGCTCAAACTGTTTGCCACAAAACACACAGTCAAAACCACTTTACAGGGTATCTATCCTGTGAAGCACTTTGACACGTGATAAAGACCCGATATCAAATGCAAGGATTATTATTATTATTATTATTATTGACTCCAGGTGAAAAGCGTTGCATAAGTGCAAGGCCGCTGCTCGCTGCTGTTATTGTGCCACGTTTTCTTTTCGCTGCAGGTATTTATTAAATTTTCCACTGTGTCTTTAGGACTTGGAGAAAAGTCTGTCGATAAACACTAAAAACTTTAACCATCTGCTGGCTGCAGAACGCACAAAGACACGAGAGGCCAATGAGCTGATAAAGAAGCTACAATCGGAGCAACGCGCCTTGCATCAAACTATAACGGTATTCGTCCGAGTGACCGATGGCACTTTCTAGCAGTATAATAATAATAATCCTTGCTTTGATATAATAATAATCCTTGCATTTGATATAGCGCCCTATTATGTCTTCGAGACGTCTCACAGCGCTTCACAGAATATACTGCAAAGCGGATTGATTGTGTATTTTGTGGGCGAAAGGCAGCAGACAATTGCACACAGCAGCGTCCCCACAAACAACAACAACATGGATTTATATAGCGCCCTCCACGCCGGACGGCGTCTCAGAGCGCTTTACAATAACGAACAAACAGTCATGGATTGAGTGACCAAGTTAACAAAAAACTTTGGAGGGATTATTTCCCTCGGAAAGCAATCCGCCAATCGACTAACAACCGGGTTCCTACTGACCTACTTCAAAAATACAGTCACTGCGCTTCACAGAAAACTGTTATAAAGTGCTTTGAGAGGTTTTGTGATTGGGTGCTGTTCCAAATGCAAGGACGACTAGTGCGTATCTCCCGACAATGACTCCTGACTTTTTTCTCACTTTTATTTCTTTTAGGAGAAAGAAAGGCAGCTGGCAGCTAAAAATATTTACTCTAATCGCATGCTGCAGAGTATTCCAAAGGTGGATATATCTCCGCCAAAGCAGAAAGGTAGGGCAGCGAGGGTGTACCAGCCTGTACTAACACAACAACAACTTGCATTTATACAGCACCCCTCATGCAAGGTAAAGTGCCTTGAGACGCTACCCTGCGTGGAGGGCGCTATATAAGTCCAAGTTGTTGTAAGTTGTTATTGTTGTCGCGTCCCAAAGCGCTTGACAGTGGCGGAGCACGATGCCGAACCGGGAGGGAGGAGGAGGAGGAGTGGGGAGATGACCCTAGGCACGGTCGAAGAGGACGGTCTTCAGGGTCGACGTGAAAGTGGGGAAGGAGGGGGCAAGGCAGAGGGAAAGAGGAAGAGTGTGCCAGAGTTTCGGGGCGCAGTGGCTGAAAGTGTGGCAACAGACAACACATCTGCATTTGTCCATCATGTTTCACTGAGACTCATTACAATGGGTTAAAGAAATGAATGGGTTCCCTCTAAGGTTCAATTCCACTGGCCAGCGGGCACTGTCCCAACCAACGGTGCAGCAACATAATAATAATAATAATAATCCTTGCATTTGATATAGCGCTTTTCACGTCGGAAGGACGTCCCAAAGCGCTTCACAGAACACAACTGTAAAGTGAATTGACTGTATATTTGTGGGCGAACGCGGAAGCCAATTGCGCACAGCAATGTCCCACAAACAGTCGTAGATTGAAAATGACCAATTTATTATTGTTTTTGGTTTTGGAGGGATTATTATTAGGCTCTGTGTGGAGTAAGGAAACTTGCCCAAGGTTTCGCCCTCTGCCTGGAATTGAACTCAGGTCTCTCGCTGCCTTGAGACGCTACCCTGCATGGAGGGCGCTATATAAGTCCAAGTTGTTGTAAGTTGTTGTAACATCTTGCTCTTATACAACGCTTTCAAGCAGGATAGCGTTTCGGGGTGCTTCACAATTTGACATCTTGCAAGGGAGAAAGGGGAGGAGAGGTGACCAAAGGTGGGGTCATAGAGGTAGGTTTTAAGGTGGGATTTAAGGATGGATAGAGAGGGGGCGAGGTGGAGGGTTAGAAGCTGGGGGAAATGCCGGGGAGTGGGGGTGGGGTGGAGACACGTGCAACAGGCCTGTGTCAACTGAGCAGAGGAATTGGGTATGAGAAGGTCAGAGAGACGGGGAGGTTCTGGGGCATTAATAATAACAATAATAATAATCCTTGCATTTGATATAGCGCCTTATCACGTCGTTGAGACGCCTTAAAAGTCTTCACACGATATGCTGTAAAGTGTATTTTGTGGCCGAAACTCGGCAGCCATTTGCAACACAGTTGTGTCCCACAAACAGCCATGGAGTGAGTGACCAACTTTATTTGGCGGTTTGTTGGCCAGGAAACTCCCTTCCCTTTTCAAATAGTGCCAGAGGAACTTTTAACATCCACCGGACGGGCAGACGGGACCTCGGTTCAACGTCTCATCCAAAGGATGGCATCTCAGACAAAAGCAGCACAGCACTGCGATGGAGTGTCAGCTTAGACTATGTGAGTTCAAGTCCCAACACGGGGGCTTGAACCCACAACCTCAGAGGCGAGAGAGCTGCCAACTGAACCAGGCTGACACACAATCAGCGCCAGGCTGTTATTACACTCCACGTAGCTTACCCGTCAATCGAATGTGGAGTGCAGCTCTGAGCCAATCTGAGTTGAAGAGTCAACGGAGTGCAATCCACGAGGTTTGAGTGTTTGAGGCTGGTTGATGCATAAGAACGTAGGAATCTGCTAAGCGAAAGACCAAGCTCCATCTGGTTCGCATTCCACCATCCTGCCAAACGCTTGACAAGTTGCATCCCAAACTGTATGCTGTATCCTGAGATATTATTGTTTTGTTGTCCTCCACAGTGAAAGGCTGACCCTATGTCCTCTTTCTCCCTCACACAGTGGATAATGCTATACAGACAGAAGAGTTGGCCTCTCCCATCATTCCATTCTCTCCTCATAATGTTCTTCCAAACCTAGACAAGAAGACTATCGCACACGAGGTACGGTCATCTGTTTACTAACAATGCTATCATATAATTAATAGTAATAATAATCCTTGCATTTGATATAGCGCCATATCACGTAGAGACATCTCAAAGCGCTTCATTGAATTTATTGTAAAGCGTATTGATTGTCTATTTTGTGGGCGAAACGCAGCAGCTAATTGTGCACAACAGTGCCCCACAAACAATCGTGGATTGAGTGACCAATTTTTTTTTGGGGGGGAATTATTACCCCCATAAAGCGATCCACCATTCGACTAATGTTCAACGAATAACAAGGATTATTAATTAATAAACATCAGTTATTAGTTAATTAGTAATTATTAATTAACAATAATAATCCTTGCATTTTGGTACAGTGCCATTGTTAAAACGCCTCAAAGTGCTCCACAGGATTTATTGGAGGAACTGCTGATTTTTTGTATGGGGGGTGTTTTATCGGGGTGGGGTCTGGGGTTGGGGGAGCAGTCGAGATCGAAAACCAGAAGGTCCCATACCCCTGTAGGTTGTGGGTTCAAGCCCCACGTTGGGACTTGGAATCACTTCGCACTCCAACGCGATGCCGGATGGGACGTTTCATTGGCGGAGGTGCCATCCTACGGATGAGATGTTAAACGCCTGGGACGTTGCTGCGTGCAAATTGTCTGCCACCTTTCGCCCACAATTATACAGTCACTCCATTTTGCAGTATATCCTGTGAAGCGCTTTGAGTCGTCGTGACCATGTGATAAGGCGCCACATCAAACGCAAGGATTATTATTGTATTAATTTAACAATCTATGAGTTCCAAGTCCCGACGGGGGGCTTGAAATGCGCAACCAAGTGGCGAGCTTGCTGCTGAATAAGCCAACATTATTGTCTTTACATCGCAGCAGCGGGAGGCGCACAAAGAAACGGGGGATGAAGACAATGAAGAAGAGGCACGAGTCTCGAGAAGACTTAGAAGAGAACAAGAAAATGAGAAGGAAGAGGAGGCAGAGAGGTTAAAGAAAGGTTAGAGCTTGTGCCCATCGTAAAGCGCTGCATGGGTTCGGGCTGCAGTCTTTTTTTGTTTGTTTTTTTTGGGGCCTGACACATGCAGAACCCTATCAAGAGTCTCCAAACCAAACTGAGAATTCCCTGCATCCCACCTACACCTGGGAATCCCAGAGATAGACTGTTGGAATGGAATGCGCTCTCTCTCTCTCCCTGGAGGGACACATCCTGCTCACCTAATTCCAGAAAATATTAGGCGCAGGTTGGCAAGAGCCAAGGCTTGGGGACCACAGAGTGTGCGTTGGGGTAACTGTTGGGAGTCTAACCAGCTAAAACTGCATAGCTTGCCACTGAGAGCGCTGTCTGTCAAGCTTTCCTACTGCTTGTCCAGCTGAGACCACCCTACGCGTTAAGGCTTTGGCTTGCAGGGTTAACAGGAGCTGAGGGGGAGGATTCCCTGCCCCCAATGACTGGTCTGCCATTCCAGATCTTGCGGATGAGCCGGGCTGGGCTGCCATCAGCTTTCAGGTGAGGATACAGATGGCGAAGGTGAATTTCAGATTTGAAAAGAGATTAATATTTTGGTTTAGCACAGGTTTGAGCCCTCATTGGGTGGATGGCAGGTACCAGGAACTCCCTGTGAGCTTCCTGGTAGGCAACACAGCTCAGCATGAAACGCTCGAGAGCATTGACACCGTCGTCCTGAGCGCAGCTCGAGCGTACGTCCCTTTCCACTAAGCGATGGTCCCACCGGTACGAGGTGCGGCGTTTAATCAGCAGCTAGTTTGAGTTCCATCCGTTTTTCAGCAACGCTTTCAACCTAATGCCTCGTGATAAAAGCGGAAGCAGCCTGTTTTTGTATTAACTGTAATTTCTCTCCCTTCCCCCAACCCGTCTCTCCACTCCGCCCCCCACCCCACCGACTAACTCAACGCGATGCTCAGAATACGAGCAGGCAGAGAAGAGATGGAAAGAGAAGGAGGAGAAGAAGTTGCTGGAAACCGTGGAGGACAAGCGAGAGCGAGAGGAGAAGGAAAAGGCCGCTCAGCTGCTGAAGGACGTGATCGAGGAGGAGGAGGGAGAGAAGCAAACCGAGCCGGAGGACCAGAGGAACGCCGTGGAACGTCTGCCGGAACTCGGCACGGAACTGGGGGAGTCATCGGGGTTGAACGAGAGCTTCAACAAAGGGATCACCAGGCTTCGGAGACGCTACAGGTTCACGGAGCAGATCGAGAACCTGCACCAGGGCTTGCCCGTCTGCAAGATGTCCACCTACGCCAGCCACGCGTGCAGCAAGCGGAGGCTGAGCGGGCTGGAGTTCCCTGAACTAGCCTCCTCCTTCAGCGGATACGAACCGTCCTTCGGGAAGATGTGCGGCCGTGCCAGCGAGCCCAGGCACCAGCCGGGGGACGGTACCGGAGACAAGGCAGAGAAGGGCCTCCTCCTGCCGCCCCCAAGGCAGGACAAGAAGAGCAGCCTGATCGAGACCCTCTTCGGATCGGCCACCGGCCTGGAGAACAAGCCCTCCGCCCCCGGAGGTGGGGTGAAGACCCCCGACACCTTGGCACATTTGCAAATGAACAAACAAAACCACACAAGCCGCATCCAGGTGCCCAACAAGAACAGGTTGAATATTCTGGATCCCAATTTGCTACCGGGACGGGTCTTGGACGCGTCCACAGAGGACAACGAAAATCTAATTTTACAATAAGAGAGAAATAAATAACATGATGACGGTGACTCCTTTGGTTTCCTCGTATTTCCCCCCCCCCCCCCCAAAAAAAATAAAACAGACTTTGGAATCTCGCTGACCAAAGGGTAGAAATAATAATAATAATAATCCTTGCATTTGACATAGCGCCTTCTCACGTCATAAAACGCTGCACAGAATATACTGTCAAGTGAAATGACTGTATATTTTGTGGGTGAAACCCGGCAGCCAATTGCGCACAGCAGTGGTTTTTTTTTGTTTTGAAGGGATTATTACCCCCGGAAAAGCAATCCGCCAATCGACTAACAACCAGGTTCGTATTACTGCTGGGTAAACAGAGGCAGGTGGTGTAAGGAGACTCGTCCTGCATTTCGCACTGCCCGGGAATCAAATCCAGGTCCTCTTGCTTGCGACTGCTCTAACCACTAAACTACAGGATTACGAAATAATATTTTGTGATACATTATACGAGTAATTTGAGACATGACATACAGTGTGGCTTGAAGAACCAAGCAACTTTGGATCTAAGCTCCCAAAGCTTTCCACTCTGCTGTAGACTAATCCATAAAGATTTAATGTATGTTCCTGTGGTTAAAGTGCTCTCCAATGAGAAGGGGTATCAGTGGTTAATTAGCGACTGCGGCAATAGTGATAAACACTCCTCCCTCTTCCCCACCCATTCCCACAAGTGCAGAACTGTGCAGAGTATTGAACAAGACTCCCTCCACACTTCCATAAACCCTTTTACAATAATAATCCTTCACCTGATACAATGGCTTTCCCATCAGGAGGACGTCTCAAAGTCTTTGGATTGACTGTGGATTTTGTAGGCACAGCTATTTGCCCACACAGCCATGAAGTGAGTGTAACTGGGGGATTGTTGGCCAGGACATAGGGAGAGAAAGTCCTTTCTTTCTCTCTTCAAACAATGCTGTGGGATCTTTGACCGGCACAGATGGGACCTCGGTTTATCACGTCTCGTCCAAAGGATGTCACCTCCGACAATGCAGTGCTTTCCCCCCACCCGTTACTGTTCTGAAGTGTCAGTCGGGACTGTGAGCTGAAAGACTCCATTGTTGGGACTTGAACCCTGACTCGGAGGCGAGAGCCCAGGCCAACCAGATTTCAGCCAACAATTTAATATATCACGTGAATAAAAATTCCTAATGTATTCCTTCATAATAAACCCGCTTCAAATAAAAGTCCAGCACTGAAGCCAAAACATTAAACTTACAGGGGATGAAAAAGTTGCACATCCCAACACAGACACACACACACAATGCCCCATTGTAGCAATGAATAGAGACACGCTCTTAAATCAGCACGACAGCAGTCTGAGGTTTATAATGGTTGCTTTTCTTGCTGGATGGATATCTTAGCCATCAGACTTCTATCTGCCCATCACTGTCCTTTATTTACAGTAATGAAAAACACACATATACGCACAAACCCATAAACACATGAAAACAGTGAATACATTCAAAGTTGAGGAGCTCCAACAAGAATGTAGCATTGCAACACACACAAGATACACAGCTTGTATTATTATCAATAATAATGCCTATGACATACCACCTTATCACATCATTGAGATGTCTCAAAGCGCCTCACAGAATATATTGTAAAGTGGATTGACTGTATTTTGTGGGCGAAACGCGGCAGCCAATTGCACACAGCAATAACCCACAAAGTCGTGAATTGAGTGACCAGTGATTGAGTAATTTTTTTTGATGATGGGATTATTACCCCCAGGAAGAGATCCACCAGTCGACTTAACAACGGGGTTCCTAATTACCTCAAGGCAAACAGAGAGAGGTGTGTGGAGTAAGGAAACATGCCTGAGGTTTTTTCCCCGATTTCGGGAATCGAACCCGGGTCCTCTCGCTTGCGGGGCGAGCGTGCTAACCACTATGCTACAGGACTCCACAACAATAGGCTACAGGACTCCAAGTTATAACGATGTTCATTCCCTGAATGGTTGAGTGGCTGCAAAATCGAGAGCGTCTGAAAGCATTTAAGTTTTAAAAGATTTAAACTCAGTTTTAAACGCTCCTGCACGTCAGTGTGAATCTGGTTTCCTGTCCTCTCGACATATTTCCAACAACGAAACAGCGAGCCTGCCAATGTCCCCACAAACTGCCATGAGGCGAGTGACCAATTTTGTTGGGACAGGACACTTGGGAGAGCGAAACTCCCTTCTCTTCTCTTTTAACATCAAACTGACTGGGCACCTTTGGGTCCTAGGTTTAACGTCTGTCTGTAGTTACACCTCAGCAATTCGGCTGTGTTGTGGACGTGACCGTTCACCCGGTAAATTGTGGTGAGACACACCGTGGGGGTTGTCAGCTGCGCATCACTAACACTCTTTGTGCCAGCACATTCCTGCAGTCTCTCTGCCGCTCAAGAAAACAAACTAAATCTGGTTCAGTTACTAAACTAAAACTGCTACTTTTAAGTAGTCCGCAGTAGGAAACAAAAATCTTTACATTTTACACAAAACTGTTGACCTCCACGGGTTTGGAGGGAGTGTGTGTGTGTGCTTTCTCTCTCTCTCTCTCTCTCTCTCTCACACACACCCTCCAAGTCAGTGCAGATTTTTTTTTTATTTTTTAAAAAAAAACTCACAAGTGTCTCAAAGACCTTCAAACCAACCACTGAATCTCGGGCGGAGGGGCGAGGGCGACCGAGATTCAGAGATTTTCCAGACACGAGCAGTCACGTGTGATGGGTATCGGTGGAAATTGAAGAGACCTGCGAGGAGTCAGACGATTGTGGTCGGTCACAGCTCGATCGACTGGGCGCAGTTTAGAGCCACGGCCACCACTTTATTGCACACCAGGAGCCAGCAGGTAATTCCCACACCACCTGCGGAGAGAGAGACAAGCACAAGGTCACATACACGGGGGAATATAATAATCCATGTATTTGACACAGCGTCTCATCACGTCGTTGAGACGCCTCGAAGCGCTTCACGGAATATACTGCAAAGTATTGAAACAAACGCACGTGCGGAGCTCTCTCTGCGCACGCGTTTTCGAAAACAAGTTCCGCTAAAGAGGCTGTCATCGAACGAACCAGTGCATCCGGAAACCCGACCCACAAATTTAACAGTGGGTCAAGCACTGCGAGGAAAAAAATAATTACATTCCCTCGCCGCACTCACTGTACCTGGTATTCCTGTGGGGAATGCCACCAGCTTCTCCAGAGGCGCGATCCATTTACTGGGCATCACTGTGACAGGCTCCGAGTAGTACTTCCAGATCAGAGAGATCATCAGAGCAGCCTGAGGGGAAAACAAGACGAGATGGGTTTTTAAGTCACCCGGGTGTCTGACACACGCGGAACACCCTTCACCCTTGCTTAAGAGCGTTCCACAGAGTTCCACACGTGCCTGCCACCTACACATGGGAATTTCCTGTGTCTGGAATGGAATGCGCACTCTCTCCCCCTGGAGGGACGTACCCTGCTTATTCCGGAGACTAGCAAGGGCAGGTTGGCAAGAGCCAAGGCTAGGGAACCCCAGAATGTGGTTTTGGTGTAATTAATGGCGTGTAGTCAGCTAAAGTCTCGTAGCTCGCCAATGAGAGCGCTGTCTGGCAAGGTTTCCCGCTGCTTGTCCGGCTGGGACCAACCTACGCATTAGGGCTTTGGCTTGCAGGGTTAACAGGAGCTGAGCGGGAAGATTCCCTGTCCCCATTGACCAGTCGACCACGCTAAGCACCGTTGATGAGGCAGATTAATCTAGTCAGTCATCAGCAGTGCCCTGGAGTACTGCAGACTCAGGAACCAAGACGACTGTGACTGCCACAGAGGGTGGATTTTATTCGCAATATTCCATTGCCAGGCTGGTCACCCTAGAGCCCAAAAAGCCCTCTCACCCTCATCAGCAGGATGTCAGGAATGCAAGTGTCAAGATTTCACAAACCTCTTCAATCTAATTCCATTTTAAAAACCTGGAAGGGCAAATCCTGCCCAGCTCCACAAACCGCTCACCTGTAGAACGTAGAAAACAATGGTCACCACCCACTTGATCTTGGCTAACTGTGCCGTTCTGGTTTTCACTGGAGAAGAAGAGGACAGAATTCAGGAGAGGGTCACAGACTTTGGCAAGGTAACCTGGTGCGGGTTAGCACAGTAAAGCTCACATAAATCGTATCAGTCAGGAGCATAATGTTTAATATTAATAAGTCGTGTAAAGTCCGATTTAATCAATAATCTACACTGCGCCTGCGTAATCCAATGTGGCCGGTAAGTGCGCACGTGGAGACGGGTCAAGACTACGTTTTCTGCGATTCAATGCACCTTGACGCACACTTACCGGCAAGCGTTGGATTTGCACTGAATTGCTGGAAATTAAGTTCATCTGCGCATGCGTCAACAGATCAAGACTACGTTTCCAGTGATTCTATGCACCCGTAAGCGCGGAAGTAATGGAGGGTAAGGGAGTGGCGTTACGAGTTACAAAGTGATTAATACAAGTCGTGCAAAGAAATCTAAATGGTTTTGATAGAAAACTGAATAGGACTTGGGAAAATGTACAACTTGGGTGATTATAAGCTTTATAAAAATAAGACTTCTATGTGAGTTTTACCGTATCAGCCGATGTGCTGAGCATTTGGAAAAGCAGTAACTCTTTGATTTGATACAGCGCCTTATCACATCGTTGATCCGTCTCAAAGCGCTTCACAGTATATACTGTAAAATGGATTGACTGTATTTTTTGGGTGAAACACGACAGACAGTGTTTGCTCAGTAATGTCCCACAAACAGCCATAGAGTGAGTGACCAATTTTTATCTGGGGGATTGTCGGCCAGGGAACTGGGAAATAGAAACTCCCTTTTCTTTTCCAATAATGCCGTGAGATCTTTAACATCCATCTGAATAAGCAGATGGGACCTGGGTTTAATGTCTGATCTGAAGGACGGCAGCTCTGAAAATGAAACACAACCCCAGCGCGGCAGTGGAGCGACAGCTTAGACTATGTGATTCCAAGTCCCGAAGTGGGGCTTGAACCCACAACCTTCTGAAACAGAAGTGAGAGTGCCGCCACGGTGCCAGGCTGACAATCTTTGGTGGCTCCTTCTGTAGAATGGGGGAATTGAGGAATGGGAGGGGGGGGTGGGTGGATTCGGGAGGGTTGGAAAGGAAAGCACAAATGCCCGGGCCGTACCGTGAGTCTTCAGTTTGTCCGTCGTCTTGTTGATCTTGCGTTCCAGCCGGGCATATCTGGCAAACTCATCCATCATGCTGATTGTTGCCAACTCCTGCTTCATGTTTCCAATTTCGATTCTCATTTGGAGCTCAGTCTCTCCGTCCTTCTGCAGGAGTTTGGCTATCTGTGAGGGAGAAAGGGGGAAGGGTGGGGGGGGGGGGGGGAAGGGGAGGAAAAGGCCAAGCTCATTAGAAAAACCAAGTTTCCTTACTCCGCACTTCTCTGTTTACGTAGCAGTAAAAGTAGGAACCTGGTTGTTAGTAAATTGGCGGATCGCTTTTCCTGGGATAATCCCTTCCAAAACAAAAAGTAATAATTTGGTCACTCAATCCACGACTGTTTGGGGGACACTGCTGTGCGCAATTGGCTGCCGCGTTTCACCCACAAAATATACAGTCAATTCACTTTACAGTGCAGTGCTTTGAGACGTCTCGAAGACGTGATAAGGCATATCGAATGCAAGGGTTATTATTATTATCGATATAAACTTTTAGCACACGAATTGCTAACCATTTGGTTAAATTTACTACTAAATGGGGGGTGGGGGAGGAGAAAGAATTCCATTCGGACTTGGCTCACTCAGGGTGGAGGGGAGTGGGGGGAGAAAAGAGCTTTTTCTTTGCCTGTTCCGACTCAGCCATCCATCGTACTGCTCTGAAACAATGAGCTGCATTGATTGATGCCATCTGTGGGTTAGACAACCCTGTCACCCTGTCTGCCTGGTGGGAGATGTGCCAAGGGACAAGTGGAGAAACACACGAAGCTGAAGAGGGATTTTTTAAAAATATATACCTGCAGAGAGTATTCGGGGATGCTCTGCTGTTCCAACTATTCTAGGGTAACAGAGGTCATCTCAGCTCAGCCACCGGGAAACTCGCAGGGAGTTCCTGGTACCTACCTACCGTCACCTAGTGAGGGCTCAAACCCGCACTTGTTGGATGTCGAACGACTGGTTACTGAGCGAGGATTATTATGAAGTGTATGAGAAACGTAGAGGTCACACTGGAGAGGGATTACACACGTTTGAGCTGACACTGGCACAGCGAGCAAGACCCGAGGCCAACACATTCCCTTCCTCAGCATTGGCTACCTCTCTGGCCTGCAACCCAACCCACTATCCCATCACACCACCCGCCCGACTGGCTCCGGCCTCCTGCTTGTCCCTCGTGCCCTCCGTTCCACCCTTGGTGGCCGTGCTTTCAGCCATTATGCCTCGAAACTCTGTAACTCTCTCCCTCAATCCCTCCGTCTCGCCCTCTCCTTCCCCACCTTCAGGTCATGCCTGAAAACCTTCCTAATCCCTTCCTAAGATCTTCCTCTTCGCCCGTGCCTACAGTCGCCTCCCCTCTCCTCCAGGCTCGGCATCGTGTTCCGCTACCATCAAGCGCTCTGGGACGCTACCCAACGTGAGGGGTAGGTATATAATAGCAAGGTTGTTGTTGTCTGCAAGGTCAATGCCCGTCTTTCTGCCTGAATGACGGCCAGTCGAGAAACAAATCTGGGGATTGAGCTCCAAGAACATAAATGGAAAGCGCTTTGCTGTTTCGGAGCAGGATCTGGGAGCTAATCATCACCCAAATCCAATTAAACTCGTGTGCGAGATTAATTCCAGGTATGGGCCAGTCACACGACAACAAGAGGTAGACGTAACCACCCTCACTCACAACAGGACGACTTCAAGAACCCAACTTTCATGAAAACACAGTTTACAGCAGTTTGGGGGTCAGGTAGTCAGTCGCCTCAGAGTCAGAAGGTTGCTTTCCTTGTCTGGATCATCTTGCCCCTCTGTGATCTCCTAACCCCACGTAGACCTGTTCACTCCCTCCTCTTCGGCCTGCTCCATGACCCCGCCCAACCTGCCCCAACGTCGGTGGTCGGGCCTTCAGCCTCTCTACCCCACTCCATCCCACACTCCTTTCGCCTCGCTCCCTCCTTCAAGGCCCGTCTCAAGACCCGACTTTTTGACAGCACCTTTGGATACTCTCCTACCCCCACCTTTACTGCCCTCCCCGCCGCCCCCTCCTGATCCCAACCCCCAGCTCCAAACCCCTGACTGTCCAGCGCCTTGAGACGTCTTCCTGACGCGAAAGGCTCTGTACAAATGCAACTTGTTAGAAATGCAAAGGTTCACTCTATCCACTCTTTCTCTCTCCCTCCCTCTTAGTCTATCATTGCTGCTGATGTAATTTTGCCATCGAGTCCCATTTCTCCATGAATGGCTTTAGCTGCTCATCCACTTTGCGAGAGATTAGTGACACACATCAATGACGACACGCGAAGATGTCTTAATCCAGTTTTTAGAGGGCACCAGTTCCAATTGGGAACTGCCGACAGATTACTGAACTATACACGAGGATAGTGTGCAAACCTCAGGTTTCAAGGAGGGAAAATGAAACAGAAAATGCAAGGACAACTTCTAAATTGCCTAAACGTGTGTTAGCCTCGCACAGGCGGTAGGTGGCAAGCTCGCTTCAGAGTCAGAAGGTTGTTGATCCATGCCCCATGTCGGCACTTTGAATTCAGTGTAGGCTGGCATTCCAGTGTAATAATAATAACCCTTGCATTTGATATAGTGCCTTATCACATCTTCGAGGTGTCTCAAAAGAGCTTCACAGAATATCCTGTAGAGTGAACTGACTGCAGCTGTGGGCAAAACTCCTGTGTCGTGCTGGAGAGTGGAGGAAGAGAGAGGGTGCGATGCATTGTCAGAGGAGATGTTAAATCAAGGCCATGTCTGCCTGTTCAGGTGCACGTTAAAGAGAAGGGAGTTTCTCTCTCCCGATGTCCTGTCTGACAATCTCCCAGATAGAAATTAGTTATTCACGTCACGGCTAGTTGGTGGGATGCTGCCGTGCGCAACTTGGCTGCTGCATTTGCCTACAAAACAGTCACTCCACTTTACAGTAAATCCTGTGAAGCACTTTGAGACTTCCTCTGACGCATCTCCATGGCTCCCTCCCTCCCCCAGCAAATCCACTGTATTCCCAGGCGCCGTCAATGGTCTGGCTCATCAATTGGGGGGAAGAGACACAATTGGCTGAACAGGAAGACAGCCCAGACTATTGGGATCCACGTGTTCTTCTGGCAGAACGAGGGGACGGTGAGGGCCTGCCTCAGGCTCGTGCTCGTGCACGCTAGGATCAGGGACTATGTGCTGAGGGACAAGCTGAAGTTCGGCTCAACTGCGGCAAAAGCCAGATGGGGGCCTGACCCCGGCAGGAGCTCCTCCGACATAAAGCGCTCAGGACGCGCCCAAAACTGACTGAAATAAAGGTAAGGGCAACAGAAGGAAGCTCGAGATGTAACCGAAGAGTGTCCTGAAAAGGTACGTACGGTAAACGCGTGCGTACAGCGCACATCGGGGCGCTTTCCAAAAACGGGAAGCGCGCCTTATCAGGGCGCGCACGTGGAATGTGATGTACACAGGGGCGACTCCCAACTCTTTTAAAGGGAACGGCCCCCAAAACGTGCGCGCAATCTACGTGAAGGAATGCACCGCAAACAACGGAATGTTCTTTTCTGTATCGGGAGAAAAGGAAAAAGTTGTAAACCGAAAACGTTGCACGTTGCGTTTGTTTTAGATTTCTGTTGTAGCAAATATTATATTTGTAAATAAATAAATATTTTCACATAATAATAATAATAATCCTTGCATTTGATATAGCGCTTTTCATGTCGGGAGGACGTCCCAAAGCGCTTCACAGAACACACTGTAAAGTGAATTGACTGTATATTTGTGGGCGAACGCGGCAGCCAATTGCGCACAGCAATGTCCCACAAACAGTTGTGGATTGAAAATGACCAATTTATTATTGTTTTTGGTTTTGGAGGGATTATTATTAGGCTCTGTGTGGAGTAAGGAAACTTGCCCAAGGTTTCACCCTCTGCCTGGAATTGAACCCAGGTCTCTCGCTTGCAAAGCGAGTGCTCTAACCGCTGAGCTACAGGACTCCGCAGGACTCCGACAAGATCTGATGAACTGGTACAAGAGGCTCAATGGACTGAATGGCCTTCTCGTGTTCTTGAGTTCCAAACCACCTGCTGTTCAAAACCATGACTCGCTTGGGATTGCTGCTGCCGCTGCTTTCTGAGCCCAGTCAGTAACATTCGATATAGAACCTTACCACGTTGTTGAGACATTTAAAAACGCTTCACGGAATATGCTGTAAAGTGAATTGTCTGCGCACTTTGTGGGCGAAACGCGGCAGCCAATCGCACACAGCAGTGTCCCCGCAAACCGTCGTGGATTGAGTTGTTTTTTTTTTCCCCGATGGGATTATTACCACTGGAAAGCCATCCGCCGATTGATTAACAACCTGGCTCCTACTTACTGCTCGGCAAACAGCGGCGTGTGGAGGTGGGAAATATGCCTACGATTTCGAACCCAGTTCCTCTCTCTTGTAAGGCGAGAGCGCTGACCAATACTCTATAGGACTTGATTTTCTTCACCTGAAGAAAATGTGCAAATCCTGCACTTCACATGTTGGAAAATAATTTTTTTTTTTACGGGTAATAAAATTGCAGTGCTGTGCGTTGAGAGAGAGAAAACGTCACTGCACCCACAGCCACTTGCTCCACATGAAACATATCACAAAGAAAACGAATGACAGGTGATTGAATATAAGGGGTTTAGCCAGAGGTTAGAAAGGGTCATGTTAAGACTGGGACAAAAATCGCTGACTGCAAACCAGGCTAATTAAATCTAATAAATAATCCTTGCATTTGATACGGCGCCTCATCACGCCATTGCAACGTCTCAAATTACTTTGAAGGTTTCATTATGAAGTGTAACGGCTGTGTGTATTTTTGTAGGGGAACGTCCACAGCCAATTTGCGCACAGCAAAGTCCCACCGAGAGCCATAAGGTGATTGACTAATTTTATCGGGGTTGAGCTGGGGGTGGGGGTGTGGGGGAGAGGGGAGAGATTACTGGCCAGGACACCGGGGAGACACTCCCTTCTCTTTCCAAATAGCCACGTGGGAACTTTAACGTTCGCCTGAACACGTGCAGGTCCAGTCGCTCGGTTTAGCGCCTCATCCGAAGGACTGCAGCTCCGACGATGCTAGAGCAGGACGGGATTGCCAGCCTTGTTGTGGAGCTCGAACCTTCTGACTCGGAGACGAGAGTGCTACCCACTGGGCGAGGCTGATAGTTCACTATGGCAGTGCTGCATAGAGGATTGATCTCTCTCTCTCACACACACACTCTTAGCAGCACCACCCTTTGTGCAAATGGTCCATGTTTCAATCCAGGCCGACACTCCAGTGCAGGGCTTGGGGCGAGCGGTGCACTGTCTCAGGTGCTGTCCTTCAGACGAGACGTTAAACCGAGGTCCCAAGTTGTGCAAACTTTCCGCCTCTCCTGACTTCCTACGGCGCAAGTCGACCGGACCTCAGTTTAACATCTCATCCGGAGAACGGCAACCCAACTGCACTGGAATTATTATAAAAAATAATCAGGTTCAGTCTTATTTTCATTATTATTTTCATCATTATTATTATTATTATTATTATTATTATTATCTCCTCCCCTCCTCCTTTCTTCTCCCTGTAAATCTCTGTTATTTTCCAGGTTGGATAACCTGGTAAATCACACAATGAATGAGTGTCCTGCTCCCTCTCCTCCCTCTGTGCTGTCTCCTTCAGCCCCCGCTGTCTCCATGCCTGAGGGCTGACTATCCCCCACTCATCGCTTTGTCTCTGGTCTAAACGTGCGCGTTTTGGCCGCCACCCCACCCCACACCGACCCGAGCTGCTTTCCCCCCCCGAACGCCCCCATCCCCGTCCTCTGCACCGCATCACTCCCTCTGTCCGTTTCTCCCTCCGTCCTCCTCGCCTCCTATTCCCACTTGACCGTCCTAAGGCGAGAATTTGGCATTCTGTGCTGATCCGACTATTCCAGGGTAACAGAGGCCACCTCAGCTCAGAAACCGGGAAGATCTCGGGGGAGTTCCTGGTACCTACCGTCACCTGGTGAGGGCTCCAACCCGCACTTGTTCTACCCCACAACTGCGCCACGACCCGCTCCGCCCTCCCCCACCTCCGCAACATCGCCCGGCTCCGCCACTGTCTCAGACCGCAGGCCCCCGAAACCCTCATACACGCTTTCATTACACCGAGGCCTGACTCATTGCTGGTCGGCCTCCCCAACGCCTCCCTCCATAGGCTGCAAGTCATCCAGAACTCTGGCTCCGTGACCCTGTCGTCCCAATCCTCGCCCGACTCC